TCCGGGTACGGGTACACCGTTTGCGACCCTGGTGCGGCCGGGTACGGGTACACCGTGAGTCACTGGTGAGTAACTGTTTGTCACTCATTTCCCAACGTCTTGTCTCTTCTCACAATTCAAGTTCCTAGAATCAACCCACCCGCGCCTGCAACATGGCTTCATCCCAGAGGTCGCAATCAGGTACCCGATACCCGTTTGCGACCCTGGTGCGGCCGGGTACGGGTACGGGATCAAAACCCGTTTGTGACCTCTGGCCAACAGTCGTGCCGATCAACCAAACCATCGCCGCTGCCTCCACAACGGCTGCGCGCAGCGTCGAACACGGACGAACTCCAAGCCGAGCCGGTCTTGCGTATTGTAATAACACTGTAATGTTTTATTTTTTTGATAAAGCGTAATGCATGCGAATTTGCGGACAGGAAAAAAATAAACACACCGCGGCGTTTTGAACGCACAAGTTGCCCAAGATCTGTGGTCCTATATTGGGATGTTTTGGCCAACTTGAGGACGATGGCATTTGCAAGGCAATTTAAAAGACGACACAGCAAAGAGCTGATCAAAGGCCACGTACGTTTTGGAATGTCAAGGTTACTACTTTACGTAGCAATTTACAACAAAAAACATCGGTTTTATGACCCATGGCTGCAAAAAATCAATACAATCTTCACCATTGGAACCTCATTTGCCAGTAAAAAATATGATAATTGTTTTTTTACCCTTTTATCTGGCAACAAAACTGACACCTTTTTTACTGACTCGCAACAACTTGCATGGGTTGGACCAGATGACGCCAAAAGGCGCATGTGAGACTAGGCTCTAAGGAAAGCTGTCTCGGGTGTGGACCAATCAACTTCAAGGACAGTGCATATATTATCAGTTATGTTTTTTGTTTGCATTATGGCTGCAGGTATTGTGGTCTATGCAAACATGACTCCTTGTAAAAAAAGGTGTCAGTTTTGTTGCTAGATAAAAGGGTAAAAAAACAATTATCATATTTTTTACTGGCAAATGAGGTTCCAATGGTGTGTGTCTCTTGTTTGCAGCCGACGATGATCAGGCTGCGGCGTCGAACGAGGGTTGATCCGGGAGTGGCCGAATCCCAAATTGAGCTCTCTCAAGAGAGGGCAGTCATACCTTGCGTAACGATAACACTGTAACGGCCTGAACATCAACGTAAGGCACTCGACCATCAGAACAGAAATGCATTGGACCTATACAGGGGACTCCTTTACTTACGAACTGGTTAGGTTCCAGAGGTAATCTTCTTGGTTCTTTCGGTAAAGTCACGCAGAAGGGAAGTAATAAAATAATAAAAATAAAACATAATAAAATAATTTGTGAGAATTATTTTATTAATAAAAATAAAACATAATAAAATAATTTGTGAGAATTATTTTATTAATAAAAATAAAACATAATAAAAGAATTTGTGAGTATTTTATTAATAAAATAATTTGTGAGATTTATTTTATTAATAAAAATAAAACAATAAAATAATTTGAGAATTATTTTATTAATAAAAATAAAACATAATCAAAATAATTTGTGAGAATGATTTTATTGTTTTAGTTTTATTTTATTATTTCCCTTCTGCGTGACTTTACCGAAAGAATCAAGAAGATGAATCCCTGCAGTCACGAAAGCTTTAACTCGAAATTCTAGAGGTAAGTTCGTACGTCGATATGTTCGTAAGTCCAACTTCACTCCTGTCGATTACAAACACGTTGTACGGCGTTTACAATAAACACGAGGAATGGCTTTAAAAGTTCTATAATCTCCTGTAGGTGCCACTCGATTCTTCATGTTCTGTCCGCAGATGTAGATGCCACCACCGCCATCTATTGTGCAGCAGAGGCAACTGGACATACGGGGACAAGTTTGTTCGTATCTCTGGAAGTTCGTAAGTCAAATGTTCGTAAGTAGAAGAGTCCCTGGAGCAGTGTGTGGCACACCGAGCCACCGCGTGATCACACGCAAATGCCAATGGCTGCTGCGATGCACAGACCATCGCCAAACATACTTACACAACTATTTATTTGACCAGGTAAGGCCCACTGAGCTATGTAGCTATTTTACTGGTAGGAACCTAATGGTGACACCAGCCCACAGGGGATTATTGTGTCCGTCCGTCGTGCAGGGAGGGGCTGGGTGGGGAGGGTGGGGCTGGGTGGGGAGGGAAGGGTGAGGATGGGCTGGGTGGGGAGGGTGAGGCTAGGTGGGGAGGGGAGGGTGAGGCTAGGTGGGGAGGGGAGGGTGGGGAGAGGCTGGGTGGGGAGGGGCTGGGTGGGGTGGGGAGGGGCTGGGTGGGGAGGGGAGGGTGGGAAGAGGCTGGGTGGGGAGGGTGGGGAGGGGCTGGGTGGGGGGTGGGGCTGGGTGGGGGGGGGGCTGGGTGGGGGGGGGCTGGGTGGGGAGGGGCTGGGTGGGGTGGGGAGGGGCTGGGTGGGGAGGGGAGGGTGGGGAGAGGCTGGGTGGGGAGAGGCTGGGTGGGGAAGGTGGGGAGAGGCTGGGTGGGGAGGGTGGGGAGGGGCTGGGTGGGGGGTGGGGCTGGGTGGGGGGTGGGGCTGGGTGGGGAGGGGCTGGTCACCCCGTGGTGCCCTTATAAAACTCAACGTTTAACCTACTCACGCCGGCTTGTGCCCGCCCTCACAGTCGGCCATATTTGCGGAATACACCACGCCGCCGTTGACCCTGCAGGCCATTGACCGAGCAACCCGACGTTCCTACCAGCTCCCTCCGCAGCAGGAATGTGTTTTGACCAGGTAAGGCCCACTGAGTGATCTAGCTATCATCACAACTCATAGCCGAACGAGGTGACGGATTATCGCGTGGACATTTATAGCCGCCAGATACTCTTAAACGCATGTTTCTAAATCTGGAGGTTAAAACCGGAGGCGTCCGGAGAGAAAAAAATCTACACGACCACAGGGAGAGGGAATACGCAAACTCCAAATATACAGCAGCAGGCACCAGGGTCGGGATCGAACCCACGACCTCCTGCATACTAGGCGAGGGAGTAAACATCTAGCCACCGTGGCGTTTCACGGTAGACAGCCTTGGTCTGTGAAAACCGTGCAGTTGCCCGTCATAAAGTTCAGCACAATACTGGTACCAGATCTCCGTACAAATCATTTGCTGCCACCCAAACACAGGTCACCAACTTACTGACTTGGCAGGGAATAAACCCAGGCAGGTGGCATCCGCAACAGCAACTCACTCGATATGCTATGAAGGCAACGTGGGATATTTTCACGTGACACACATTTCGATGAACTTATTACATGTGCCCATTTATATTACAAATATATATATCTGTCCCTCCACGTAAAAAAATATTCTAAAAGTATTTTACACATTCTATCAGCCGCACGGCCTTCTGGGAGGGCATAATTTGAGCAGCATTGGTTCAACACAAGCAAAGCTCTGGGCTGGAATTTCGACATTCAATGTCTCATCAGCAAGGCTTGCGCTTGAGCCGATGCTGATGAAATGCCAGGCAATGTCTCTAGCCAAGAACCACCCCTCTCTGTTAGACATGGTTCCGAGCTCTGCACATGAGACGACACACAACGCACAACGCAAACTATTCACGAGCGTAGCTGCTGAGAATATAAGTGACGGAATAAATAAGACGACAAGTCGCCCACCTTCACATACGCGAGGCACAACAAACATGCGGAGGTGGGCGTCTTCGCCGCCTTATTTGAACCCGGCGGGCATTTAAAAAGCAGACGGATGCATCTCCGTGCAGCGGCTGGGAAACAGGCAAAAAATGTTTTGTAAACGTAGTCCACGACAGAGGTCGCAACCGGGTACCCGATACCCGTACCCTACCCGGTACCCGGCTACCCGTACCCGGCCAGGTACGGGTACGGGTAGCCGTTTGCGACCCTGGTGCGGCCGGGTACGGGTAGGCCGTGAGTCACTGGCGAGTAGCCGTTTGTCACTCATTTCGGGTAGGATACGGGTACGGGTACCTGTTTGCGACCCTGGTGCGGCCGGGTACGGGTACGGGTAGGCCGTGAGTCACTGGCGAGTAACCGTTTGTCACTCATTTCGGGTAGGGTACGGGTAGGGAAAGAGTACCCCGGTACGGGTACCCATTTGCGACCCTGGTGCGGCCGGGTACGGGTAAGGAATCAAACCCCGTTTTCGACCTCTGGTCCACGATGTCTCCTGTTGGCGATCTCAACCACCCCACACCCCCCCCCCCCCCTGCCCCCACGATGTGTTTCTTCTTCTCTTGCGAACGGAGACGCCGTCTCGACCCGCGATTCCGCTGGCTCCGGCTCGCGTGGAGGCCACCTCGGACGACTCGACTCAACGCGACGCGTCGCCGGGGACGTCATCTTCCAGGGGCTGCCGTTACCCCGACCCGGTCCGAGGGTACCGAACGGCCGCGTGTCTCTTCCACGCGACGAAGTTCCGATGGCGCAGATTAAAAAAATTAAAATGTAACTGGGACGAAAACTGAAAAGTGCACTCTTCTCTGCGTGCTAGACAGCCCAACACACACACACATCAACACACGGCCCCACGCATACTGCACAGACACAGCCCTGGACACGCAGCACAGTACACACAACACAGTGCACAAAACAGTACGGTACACAAACAAATATCCCCTGTATAGCCTTAACAGACTGTTGGGGCAAGTTCTGTTAGCAAGCACCTATGAAGGCTGGAACGGTACACGGCGGGGTGGGTGGCCAGCACCACGCCCAACCGCCTTTGTCTTCCCAGTGCTAGTGATGTTTACACACCGCACCAGGTACTCATTTAAGGCTGAGTCGACCTAGGGGAGGCCCAGGACCGGTTCAAATAATCGTCAGCGGTGTTCGCCGTGAGCGGGAATCGAACTCGGGTGGCCGGGTTCGTAGCGCGGCATAGCGCTAACCGCTACACTACCAACAACAGCACACACAACAGCACAAATATAACAAAGATCCCCCGAGTAGCCTTAACAGACTGTAGGGGTAAGTGCTGTTAGCGAGCACCTATGAAGGCCGGAACGGTACACTAGGGGGTGGGTGGCCAGCACCACGCCCGACCGCCTTGGTCTCCCCAGTGGCGATGTTTACACACCGCACCAGGTACTCATTTAAGGCTGAGTCGACCTAGGGGAGGCCCAGGACCGGTTCAAATAATCGTCAGCGGTGTTCGCCGTGAGCGGGAATCGAACTCGGGTGGCCGGGTTCGTAGCGCGGCATAGCGCTAACCGCTACACTACCAACAACAGCACACACAACAGCACACACAACAGCACAAATATAACAAAGATCCCCCGAGTAGCCTTAACAGACTGTAGGGGTAAGTGCTGTTAGCGAGCACCTATGAAGGCCGGAACGGTACACTAGGGGGTGGGTGGCCAGCACCACGCCCGACCGCCTTGGTCTCCCCAGTGGCGATGTTTACACACCGCACCAGGTACTCATTTAAGGCTGAGTCGACCTAGGGGAGGCCCAGGACCGGTTCAAATAATCGTCAGCGGTGTTCGCCGTGAGCGGGAATCGAACTCGGGTGGCCGGGTTCGTAGCGCGGCATAGCGCTAACCGCTACACTACCAACAACAGCACACACAACAGCACACACAACAGCACAAATATAACAAAGATCCCCCGAGTAGCCTTAACAGACTGTAGGGGTAAGTGCTGTTAGCGAGCACCTATGAAGGCCGGAACGGTACACTAGGGGGTGGGTGGCCAGCACCACGCCCGACCGCCTTGGTCTCCCCAGTGGCGATGTTTACACACCGCACCAGGTACTCATTTAAGGCTGAGTCGACCTAGGGGAGGCCCAGGACCGGTTCAAATAATCGTCAGCGGTGTTCGCCGTGAGCGGGAATCGAACCCGGGTTGCCAGGTTCATAGCACAGCGCGCTAACCGCTACACTACCACTCCCCACACAACAGCACACACACGCACGCACACACAGCCGCCCAACACGCGCACGCACGCACGGAGCCTACACAGAACGCGGCACGGTGTCCCTGCCGGCGCCGCCTAGGAGGCCAGCCCCATCTTGTCGTACACGGCCCGCATGGTGCGCTGCAGCTGGCGCGTGAAGAGGTGTGAGGAGCGTCCGCAGTGAGTGTGCACAGTGGCGAGCAGCTGGCGCTCCAGGGGATAGAGCAGAGACTGGAAGAGGTTCTCGTCAAACGGGAACTGTGAACGGGCAGGGGCACAACAACAACAACAAATAAACAAAATCGCACGATGATGATTTTTTGCTTGCGTTTTGACTGCTTGTGTTGTGGTTATTGCAAACATGATGCCTTGTATAAAGGTGTCAGTTTTTGTACCAGTTGAAAGGGTAAAAACTATTACTATATTTTGCCACTGGTAAAGGAGGTCTCATAGTGTAAATGCTTACCCCGAGCTCTCAATACTCTGATAGTGCACTGTCTTTGAGTTGTGCGCCTTTTGGCGTCATCTGGTCCAACACCAATGGAGATTAGGCTCTAAGAAAAGCTGTCTCGGGTATGGACCAATCAACTTCAAGGACAGTGCATACATTATCAGAGTTATGTTTTTTGTTTGCCTTATGACTGCAGGTATAGTGGTCTATGCAAACATGACTCCTTGTAAAAAGGTGTCAGTTTTGTTGCCAGATAGAAGGGTAAAAAAACAATTATCATATTTTTTACTTGCAAATGAGGTTCCAATGGTATAAAAAATAGTTTAGAAATAACGACAACCAATTTCACATCGAGTTAAGAAATGTCCTATCTGGGCAGCATTAAAATTTGATAGAACGTCACCCAGCCGACTCAGATCTCGAATGACACCCTGTCCCGATGTTCAATTGAAAACTATGGTTGTCAAACGGTAACCGGTAAACCATTTTCAGAATCGGTTATTGCTTCCGAAAGTCGGGAACCGGTAAGCAATTCCTGTGCAATGTCAGTAAAAAGAGCTAAATATCTCAGTGGGCCTTAGCTGATAAAATAAAAAGTAGTTTAGTTTAATAATTAAAGCCCAAGCTTCTCCAATGCCTCCTTAGCTCAGAGGGGTGGAGATGTGATTGCGGCACATTCCCTGCTTGTTTATTAGGCTGCGTTTCCATTGCGTCAGAACCTGAATATTTATTTATTTATCCTGGAGTAATTCGATGAGCTTTTATCACAACAAGAGTGCAAAATTGAGGAAATGTAAACAAATCACTTAAAAAAAAATAAAAATATTTTTTTATCTTATCAGGTAAAGTCTAATGAGCTAAAACAATGAAGTGGCTCATCATCACCATCACCATCATCACCACGTGTACATTTATATCAGCAGCCAAACACCCAATCCCGCTTGACGTCCGGTGTACGCCGCCATAACCTACCCGAGGCGCGAGAAATTCACGGCCGCAAAAAAAAATCGAAACGACAAACGGAACGCGCTCGCGACGTCGCTTCCAAAACGCGAACTGGCGAGTCCCGTACGTCGTGGATGGCGTCGTAGACGGCACGGAAGGCCGGCTGCTTGTCGTCGTGGTAGACTCCGCGGTTACCGTGGAGGACGTAGACCCCGTGCGTGTCGGCGCCCTTGCAGCTGCTGCCGTACATGCAGTGGTCCGGCCGGTAGTTCCACTCGCACGGAAACACGCGGAGCATTTCTGCGGTAGCGCCAAAACGTAAAAAAAAGTTCAAGTTTCGCTTCACCAGGGGTGTGAGCGACGGCGAGAGACACGCAGAGAGAGGGGGGGAGCTGTGAGCCAAATCCCCTGCTCCCTCCTCTGAACCCAGGCAAGCGGAGAGTTCGGGACATTCGTCAGCTGCTGCCGTACATGTGTAGGGGTGTTACGGGAAGGCGAACAAGAACCTACTATACACATGCAGTGGTCCGGCCGGTAGTTCGACTCGCACGGAAACACGTGGAGAATTTCTGCGGTAGCGCCAAACGTTAAAAAAAGTAAAAGTTTCGCTTCGCCAGGGGTGTGAGCGACGGTGAGAAACACGAGGAGAGAGAGGGAGCTGTGGGACCAATCCCCTGCTCCCTCCTCTGAACCCAGGCAAGCGGAGAGTTCGGGACATTCGTCCACACAAGTTTCTGTCACTCCTCTCTGCTGCGCGGTTTGTGCTCCGTGCCGGGCTCATGTTGAAAATGCACTAAAGGAATAAATCAGAGACAAGGGAGAGTCTCGTTCGCGTAAAAAAAGTGGCCACGGGTCAACGAAATTGATAAAAGCAACGACAGAAGAAAGAACAAGTATAACCCGTAAAAACAAAGTTTTTCACTCTAAATCCTTTATATGCGTGGCGGCTAGAGTCCTCTCGTCCTCTGGCTTGAGATGGCTGCCACCTATGGGTCAGATGATTGCATTGCACCATTAAGCAATTGGTAATTAAATATAATATTGTTGTCCTAAAAAGTGTAAAATTTTGGGAAAAAATTTTCACGAACATTAATTGTCACGCACAACGAGTCTGTGTGGAAAATGTCAGCTCGATTGGATCACGGGAAGTGGGTTAAAAAACGACCGAAAGATTTGCACGGTCCTAAGCAAGCAAGCGAACTTAATATAAAGGATTTAAAAAAGTAAAATGATTAAGACAAAGATCGCGGGAGCCTTTTGAAACAAGTTCCCCAGTCCCAGCGAGGCTTTCCTGGGTAAATGAGTGGAGCATTCCCCCAATATCCGCTAGAGGTACGTAAAATAAAATTCGCAGATAATATTGGCCTACGAAATTAATAACCTAAATAAATACATGACAAATTTCGATTTAAAGCTTTCGTGACTGCAGGGATTCATCTTCTTGGTTCTTTCGGTAAAGTCACGTAGAAGGGAAATAATAAAATATTAATCAAACGTTATAAAGTTCTCACGACGTTTCGGCCACAACACAAGCAGCCGTCCTCAGGTGAAGAACAGGTCTGTCGGAAAGACAGCGTCTGAATGAACACCACCAAGCTTGGCAGCGTATATTATCACAACGCAAACGTTTTTTAATTGGTAATAATAAACCTAAAGTAAAACATCTATAAATATGAAAGTATTAAATAACCGTTTGTAAATGAATTTACGTTAAATCATGATGCTGTACAGTCGAAGGATGCAGTAACGGTGATTCTGACAACAATGATGATGATGACAGTGATCTCATCACTTAATCGCATCACATTCTCTCTCGTTGCTTTAATACCATCACTCTCTTTCTCGCTCTCTCTATAGATGCAGCAGATATGGCCAATTCTAGATTTGAAGCTTTCGTGACTGCAAGGATTCATACTCTTAGTTCTTTCGGTAAAGTCACGTAGGTAAAAAATGAAATTAAAATTAATAAAAATAAAACAATAAAATCACGACGTTTCGGAGGCAACACAAGTCTCCGTCATCAGGTGTGACCGTCACAGACAGATTTGCTGCATCAAGTGTTTTATTTTTATTAATTTCATTTTTTACCTACGTGACTTTACCGAAAGAACCAAGAGCATAGATATGGCCAAGTTCGTGAATAACGAGGCAATACTGAAACCGTGTCTCCCTCTCGACGCCCTCCGAGAAGCTCTGAGCAGCTGTTCACCGGGGTTGTGGTGGAAGATGATGTTCAGGAGGTCCTGGTCTCCCCAGGTGATGTTCAGTTTGTACTTCTTGTACAGCGGCAGGAGCATCTCATCCCATTGCAGCTCCACGGGGCTCATGTCGTTCTGCGTCGACAGAAAACACGGACGGCGCACACCCCCCACCCCCCGCTTGGCTTTAGCTTTAGACAAATCAGCAGCAAGGCTGCGGAAACCACAAATCAGCAGCAGCGGCAAATTCAAACAGCAGCGGCGCGCACGGCAACACGAGCACCTCCGACATGCACGGTTGGCTACGTACGGTGCAAAAGAAGTTCAACATGCGTGCACACACAGTGCCTTGCGCGCTATGGTACTGCGAGCGCTGTCGTGCCGTTTACCAGGCGAGGTAGTCAACACCGTGCCCCTTGTACGACCCCCCGTATACCAGGTGAGGCAGTCAACACCGTGCACCTTGTACAAACCCACGACCTCCCGTATACCAGGCGAGGCAGTCAACACCGTGCACCTTCTACAAACCCCCGTGCACCAGGCAAGGCAGTCAACACGGTGCACCTTATACGAACCCACGATCTCCCGTATACCAGGTGAGGCAGTCAACACCATGCACCTTCTACAAACCCACGACCTCCCGTATACCAGGCGAGGCAGTCAACACCGTGCACCTTCTACAAACCCCCGTGCACCAGGCGAGGCAGTCAACACGGTGCACCTTATACGAACCCACGATCTCCCGTATACCAGGTGAGGCAGTCAACACCATGCACCTTCTATGACCCCACGACCTCCCGTGCACCAGGCGAGGCAGTCAACACCATGCACCTTGTACGACCCCCCGTGCACCAGGCGAGGCAGTCAACACCATGCACCTTGTACGAACCCATGATCTCCCGTATACCAGGCGAGGTAGTCAACACCGTGCACCTTGTACGACCTCCCGTGTACCAGGCGAGGCAGTCAACACCATGCACCTTGTACGACCCCCCGTGCACCAGGCGAGGTAGTCAACACCGTGCACCTTGTATGACCCCCCGTGCACCAGGCGAGGCAGTCAACACCGTGCACCTTGTACGACCTCCCGTGCACCAGGCGAGGCAGTCAACACGGCGCACCTTCTACAAACCCCCGTGCACCAGGCGAGGCAGTCAACACCGTGCACCTTCTACAAACCCCTGTGCACCAGGCGAGGCAGTCAACACGGCGCACCTTCTACAAACCCCTGTGCACCAGGCGAGGCAGTCAACACGGCGCACCTTCTACAAACCCCCGTGCACCAGGCGAGGTAGTCAACACGGCGCACCTTCTACAAACCCCCGTGCACCAGGCGAGGCAGTCAACACCGTGCACCTTCTACAAACCCCCGTACACCAGGCGAGGCAGTCAACACCGTGCACCTTCTACAAACCCCCGTACACCAGGCGAGGCAGTCAACACCGTGCACCTTCTACAAACCCCCGTGTACCAGGCGAGGCAGTCAACACGGCGCACCTTGTACGTGGCGGCCCGCACGCGCGTCAGGTTGAACAGCATGACGCCGGAGTTGATGCCCGTGGCGCCGTAGTAGGGGTGCCGGGCGAAGCGGCTGTACCAGCCGACGCGCGGCTCCTCGTGCTCTGGAGCGACGGCGGCCGCCTGCGCCGCGGTGAACTCCGGCAGCATGGCCCACAGATCGTCCACGGCACGCAGGAACAGGATGTCCGTGTCCACGTAGAGGAGAGAGTCCACGTCGGCCAGCAGAGTCTGAGCCGGGCAAGTGGTTCAAGTTTCATGTATTAGGTATAGTTCTAGATTTGAAGCTTTCGTGACTGCAAAGATTCATACTCTTAGTTCTTTCGGTAAAGTCACGTAGGTAAAAAATGAACTTAAAATTAATAAATTAGTATTAGGTATAGCCCTGTGAGCCATTGGGCTCTTGAATCGGGTGCAACGGCAACAAACAAAACAACTAAAACATGAACAAGAAAACATCTTAAAGTGAATATGTGACTGAGTGCAAACAGAAAATCCAAGAAAAGACGGCAAAATATTCCAGAAAAAGCACCGTATACCAACCCTGTGCAAATATCCCAGTGGGATGCAAGTCAAACAACAACAACCACAAGACAACTTAGATTAAGGCCATCAGTCTAACTCTGTACTACAACAAACAAACATGGCCAAACCAGTAAACTTTTCAAAAATCACCAAAATAAAGCCATGCAAGCAGTGAAACAATGATCATAGGAACTGTGACCGAACTTTCACAATAAACGACATAAACAACATGTACTACCAAAAACCCTGCAGCCATAGCTGGCTGCATGAGTCACTCCACAACAGCAGCAGGAGCATCAGTCGGAGTGTCAACATTTTTCAATGCACCTTTAAGATCAGCACGCTAAATGTTGCGAGTGCGGACAAGGTGGTCTCTCACTGGCAGAAAGAGGCGCTGGGAGGCGCAGGGCTTGAACAGCTGTCGCCACTCTTCAGCGTACTCCTTGGGAAACGTGATAGGGTACACGGAGAAGTTGTACTTCCTCCGGTACTCGTCCGGCCACGAGTCGAGCTGGGGGGAGACACGAGCGACGAGCCGTTTCCTCACTCCCTGCGACCAGATCAAGACGAAGATCAAGTTGCTTAACGTCGTATTTTTTATCATATTTTTTCATATATGAGGTTCCAATGGTGTAAATGCTTCACCCCGAGCTCGCCTACTCTGATGGTGCATTGTCTTTGAGTTGTGCGCCTTTTGGCGTCATCTGGTCCAACACCATGTGAGACGAGGCTCTAAGGAAAGCTGTCTCGGGTGTGGACCAATCAACTTCAAGGACAGTGCATACATTATCAGAGTTGTGTTTTTTGTTTGTATTATGACTGCAGGTATTGTGGTCTATGCACACATGACTCCTTGTAAAAAAAAAAAGGTGTCAGTTTTGTTGTCAGATAGAAGGGTAAAAAACCAATTATCATATTTTTTACTGGCAAAAGGAGGTTCCAATGGTGTAAATGCTTCACCCCGAGCTCTCATACTCTGATGGTGCATTGTCTTTGAGTTGTGCGCCTTTTGGCGTCATCTGGTCCAACACCATGTGAGACTAGGCTCTAAGGAAAGCTGTCTCGGGTGTGGACCAATCAACTTCAAGGACAGTGCATACATTATCAGAGTTGTGTTTTTTGTTTGTATTATGACTGCAGGTATTGTGGTCTATGCAAACATGACTCCTTGTAAAAAAAAAAAGGTGTCAGTTTTGTTGCCAGATAGAAGGGTAAAGAACCAATTATCATATTTTTTACTGGCAAAAGGAGGTTCCAATGGTGTAAATGCTTCACCCCGAGCTCTCATACTCTGATGGTGCATTGTCTTTGAGTTGTGCGCCTTTTGGCGTCATCTGGTCCAACACCATGTGAGACTAGGCTCTAAGGAAAGCTGTCTCGGGTGTGGACCAATCAACTTCAAGGACAGTGCATACATTATCAGAGTTCTGTTTTTTGTTTGCATTACGACTGCAGGTATTGTGGTCTATGCAAACATGACTCCTTGTAAAAAAAGGCATCAGTTTTGTTGCCCGATAGAAGGGTAAAAAAACAATTATCATATTTTTTACTGGCAAATGAGGTTCCAATGGTGAGCGTGGGGGGGGGGGTAGGGGTTGTGTCTTGGCCCTTCCCTGGTGACCAAAGCTACGAGTAGGGGCCCCCTTGACAACCACCTTACTACGTTGCTGTCGCGGCTGCAATTTGTGAGGACGGAACCTCGATAAGTAAGAGCGTGTGTGCGACCGTGCGAGACAAATCACAATATTGGGGGGCCCGCACGACCGATTGCCGTACCTCCCCCGAGCTGATAATGTCCGTCACTAAGTCGCTGCGCAGAGACCTCTACTGTAAAATAAACACTTTTTATTTGATAAAAACGAAGCCATTTTTAAATCATTTATATTAAGTTCACTTGCTTGCGCGCTTACGACCGTGCAAATCTTTCGGTCGTTTTTTAACCCACTTCCCGTGATCAAATCGAGCTGACATTTTCCACGCAGACTCGTTGTGCGTGACAATTTATTTTCGTGAAAATGTTTTTTCCACAATTTTACACTTTTTAGGTAAAAAAAAATTATATTTAATTACCAATTGCTTAATGGTGGCAGGCAATCATCTGACCCATAGGTGGCAGCCATCTCAAGCCAGAGGACGAGAGGACTCTAGCCGCCCGTTTCAAAGACCAATGTGGGCTGGGTTGTGGCCCATTGAACACGCATATAAAGGATTTATAGTGAAAAACTTAGTTTTTACGGGTTAATTTTTTATTTTCCCAGGTAAAGCCTACGGGGCTATCTTCTTGGTTATTCCGGTAAAGTCACGTAGAAGGGAGATGATAAAATAATGAAAATAAAACGTAATAAAATAATAAAATTCTCACGACGTTTCGGCCACAACACAAGCAGGTGAAGAACAGGTCTGTCGGAAAAACAGCGTCTGAATGAACACCGCCAAGCTTGGCAGCGTATATTTAAGCTGGGTTAGGGGGGGAAGAGCGCCTTGACAAAGGAATTTGGGGGGCTATTCGCTCGTTTTTTAGAAGCGACCTGGCCTCATATGATAGGGGGATCATCACGCGGAGATGGATATCAGCCACAAAGCGGCCCATCATTTGGACATCTATAGGACCAAACTAATCTCAATAACCTCAATGCACGTTTCTAAATGTGGAGGGAAAATCCGGACGACGGGTAGAAGAATCCACGCGACCGCGGGGAGAACACGCAAACTCCAAATATACAGCAGGGGTTAGGGTGGGGCAGAGGTCGCAATCGGGTACCCGATACCCGTACCCTACCCGATACCCGGCTACCCGTACCCGGCCGGGTACGGGTACCCGTTTGCGACCCTGGTGCGGCCGGGTACGGGTAGGCCGTGAGTCACTGGTGAGTAACCGTTTGTCACTCATTTCGGGTAGGGTACGGGTACGGGTAGGATACGGCTACCTGTACCCGGCTGGGTACGGGTACCCATTTACGACCCTGGTGCGGCCGGGTACGGGTAGGGTAAGGAATCAAAACCCGTTTGCGACTTCTGGGGTGGGGATCAAACCGCACGACCTCAAACCGTATACAGTAGAATCTCTGGTCACGAACGCTTCTGACCACGACCAAATCGGGTTACGACCAAAGTTATGGAACAAATTATGGTCGTGACCAGAGGTTCTACTATACCAGGCGAGGCAGTTCAACGTCTCGTCACCCCGCAGAGCCGTAGCCAGACTGCCGGGGCAGGAGCCGGATCAACGGGCGTGGTGGTGGTGGTGGTGGGGGGGCATCGTGCAACGTACGCTTTCAGCGAAACTGCGGTGGAGTTGGCGCTCGGCGAAGATGTGGAAGTGCAGGTGCTTGCGGCTGAAGAGCACGGCCGACTTGGCCATGACCAGCGTCTCGTTGACCCGCTGGCCGCACGCCACCACTGCCACGTGCATCGTCTCGGACGCGCGCCGCCGCCGCCGCTGCTGCCGCAGGCGCTCGCTGCGAAACGGCGGGCGACATTTGAGGTTCCAGATTTGAAGCTTTCGTGACTGCAAGGATTCATACTCTTAGGGTTTTTTCGGGTAAAGTCACGTAGGTAAAATAAAAAGTTACCGCACACTTCTTCTTGGTTCTTTCGGTGAAGTCACGTAGAAGGGAAATAATAAAATAAAATAAAACATAATAAAATAATTCTCACGACGTTTCGGCCACAACGCAAGCAGCCGAAACGTCGTGAGAATTATTTTATTATGTTTTATTTTTATTATTTTATTATTTCCCTTCTACGTGACTTTACCGAAAGAACCAAGATGAATCCCTGCAGTCACGAAAGCTTTAAATCGAAATTTAACCGCACCTTAACAACTCTGGCACCTCCCCCTCTCAGCCGGTCTACATAACAAAGGCTCAGTCCTTTATTATGTAGGCTAGCATCAGCTTCAGCCGCAACAAACTTATCATAATAAAAAACTTCTATCCAGGGGCCTACCCTGACTCCTCCCCCCCCAACCAGTATATATACAAGGCTGGGTCTCTTGTAATTTCTCTTTACTTGATACAGCGAGCGTGCTGTGACGGTTCCACCTGAAGACGGAAGCTTGTGTTGCCTCCGAAACGTCGTGATTTTTATGTTACTTTCATAATTTTTTATTTTAAAAATTGTTTAACTTACGTGACTTTACCAAAAAAACCTAAGAGTATTTAAGGGTCCATCCGGCTGTGCGCGGTTGGCTACGTACGGCGTGAAATAAGTCCGGCGTGCGCAACGCGCGTGCATGTATGAGCGCGTGTCGAATGTCTACGTTAAATTAAATTAAAAAAACGTTTAAACCGTTTTACATGTAAAACACATTCCTGCGGAGGGAGCTGGTAGGAACGTTGGGTTGCTCGGTCAATGGCCTGCAGGGTCAACGGCGGCGTGGTGTATTCCGCAAATATGGCCGACTGTGAGGACGGGCACAAGCCGGCGTGAGTAGGTTAAACGTTGAGTTTTATAAGGGCACCACGGGGTGACCAGCCCCTCCCCACCTAGCCCCACCCCTCCCACCCTCCCCAGCCGCACCCTCCCCACCCAGCCCCTCCCCACCCTCCCACCCAGCCCCTCCCCACCCAGCCCCTCCCACTCAGCCCCTCCCCACCCAGCCCCTCCCACCCTCCCCACCCAGCCTCTCCCCATCCTCCCCACTCAATGTTTGTTTTTGTGTGTGAGTGTGTGAGCGTTAGGCGACGTGGAGGTGACTACTTTGTAGTTTGGCTCCTCAGGCTGACCGTAGTCTATGCTTGAAGTCATTGAGGGACAACGATAGTTTGGCAACGTGAAGATAGCAATTCCAGAGTGCGGTACCTATCACATGAATGGCTTAACTATGGACGAGAAGACCATTGCAGAAAGTCGTTGGCATTGACGGGAGTTTACGGGTCTCAGCGAGGTTGCCAGTGACCGCAAACACAAGTAAAAAAAAACACGCTTTAATGAAATGTACCGTACGAGTAATGGCAGAACTCCACGACTCCAGGAAGTGGCCCCGAAGCTTGCCATAACGTAAGGGGCCGTGGCCAATTACAGCCAACGTCAGTTGAGCGTGGACAATTAGACCCAAGCCGAAACATAACGTGTAAAAAAAGATTGTTTAATTTTTTAATGATAGAATATAGTATTGTCATCAGTAAGACATAAGTATACCAAGTTTGCAGTTGATACCACATTGGGAAGTGGGTTCAAATTGAGTTACAAGATTTGAGGATACGACAACAACAACGACAACAACAACAGCAACAGACTGTCTTCTTGGTTCTTTCGGTAAAGTCACGTAGAATGGAATAAATAAAATAAAACATAATAAAATATATGGTTGCAAATAATAAAATAAAATAAAACATAATAAAATATACGTTAAAATTTTTTAATTTTATTATTTCCATTCTACGTGACTTTACCGAAAGAACCAAGAAGATGAATCCCTGCAGTCACGAAAGCTTTACATCGAAAAAAAACAACAGTGATCTAATAGAACGCGTGCAGTAGTAGCAGCAGCAGTAACAAAAAAAAAATGGCCGCCACCTCGCACGGACGTCGTCTGGTACCTGACGCCCAAGACAGGCGGCTGAGCCCCGGCACCGTGCAGGTGAAGGTCGCGGCTAAGCACATGGGCCCCTCCTCCACCTCCTCCTCCATCTCCTCCACCACCTCCTCCTCCCTTGAACTCGAAGAGGAGAGTAGAGCTCCAGCCCAGGGCGTAGAGCGCCCCGCACAGCGCCAGGACGCAGCCCGCCAGGGCCACGCGCAGCGGCAACTTCATCCTCACACAGCCAGCGGCGTCTGTGGAGACAGTGAGACAGTGTACAGTGAGATAGTGGGACAGTGGGATAGTGAGACAGTGAGACAGTGGTACAGTGGGACAGTGGGACAGTGAGACAGTAGGGCAGTGAGACAGTGGGACAGTGTACAGTGAGATAGTGAGACAGTGGGACAGTGAGACAGTGAGACAGTGGGACAGTGGGATAGTGGGACAGTGAGACAGTGGTACAGTGGGACAGTGGGACAGTGAGACAGTAGGGCAGTGAGACAGTGGGACAGTGTACAGTGAGATAGTGAGACAGTGGGACAGAGAGACAGTGGGACAGTGAGACAGTGGGGCAGTGAGACTGAGACAGTGGGACAGTGAGACAGTGGTACAGTGAGACAGTGGGGCAGTGAGACAGTGGGACAGTGTACAGTGAGATAGTGGGACAGTGGGACAGTGAGACAGTGAGACAGTGGGATAGTGGGACAGTGAGACAGTGAGACAGTGGGACAGTGGGACAGTGGGACAGAGAGACAGTGGGACAGTGAGACAGTGAGACAGTGAGACAGTGGGACAGTGGGACAGTGGGACAGTGAGACAGTGGGACAGTGGGACAGTGGGACAGTGGGACAATGGGACAGTGAGACAGTGAGACAGTGGGACAGGGAGACAGTGAGACAGTGTACAGTGAGACAGTGAGACAGTGTACAGTGAGACAGTGAGACAGTGGACAGTGAGACAGTGGGACAGGGAGACAGTGAGACAGTGTACAGGGAGACAGTGAGACAGTGTACAGTGAGACAGTGAGACAGTGTACAGTGAGACAGTGAGACAGTGGGACAGTGAGACAGTGGTACAGTGAGACAGTGGGACAGTGGGACAGTGAGACAGTGAAACAGTGAGATAGTGGGACAGTGGGACAGTGAGACAGTGAGACAGTGGGACAGTGGGACAGTGAGACAGAGAGACAGAGAGACAGTGGGACAGTGGGACAGTGAGACAGTGGGACAGTGGGACAGTGAGACAGTGGGACAGTGGGACAGTGAGACAGTGGGATAGTGGGACAGTCAGACAGTGGGACAGTGGGACAGTGGGACAGTGAGACAGTGAGACAGTGGGACAGGGAGACAGGGAGACAGTGTACAGTGAGACAGTGTACAGTGAGACAGTGAGACAGTGAGACAGTGGGACAGTGAGACAGTGGGACAGTGAGACAGTGAGACAGTGAGACAGTGGGACAGTGGGACAGTGGGACAGTGGGACAGTGGGACAGTGGGACAGTGAGACAGTGAGACAGTGAGACAGTGAGACAGTGGGACAGTGGGACAGTGGGACAGTGGGACAGTGAGACAGTGAGACAGTGGGACAGTGGGACAGTGGGACAGTGAGACAGTGGGACAGTGGGACAGTGGGACAGTGGGACAGTGAGACAGTGAGACAGTGAGACAGTGGGACAGTGGGACAGTGAGACAGTGAGACAGTGGGACAGAGAGACAGAGAGACAGAGAGACAGTGGGACAGTGTACAGTGAGACAGTGAGACAGTGAGACAGTGTACAGTGAGACAGTGAGACAGTGTACAGTGAGACAGTGTACAGTGAGACAGTGAGACAGTGGGACAGTGAGACAGTGAGACAGTGTACAGTGAGACAGTGAGACAGTGTACAGTGAGACAGTGTACAGTGAGACAGTGGGACAATGGGACAGTGAGACAGTGAGACAGTGAGACAGTGGGACAGAGAGACAGAGAGACAGTGGGACAGTGGGACAGTGTACAGTGAGACAGTGAGACAGTGGGACAGTGAGACAGTGTACAGTGAGACAGTGGGACAGTGGGACAGTGAGACCGTGAGACCGTGTACAGTGAGACAGTGTACAGTGAGACAGTGACTAGAGACTTACCACCATTCAGTCCGTGGAGTCTCTCGTTTGGAGCCCCGTGTCCTCTTGTCTCCGTGTCCTCTTGTCTCTGTCCCCGTGTCTCTGTCTCTCTGTGTTTCTGTCCCCGTGTCTCTGTGTCTCTGTCCCTGTGTCTGTGTGTCTATGTGTCTCCGTGTCCCTGTGTCTCTGTCCCTGTGTCCCTGTGTCCCCGTGTCTCTGTCTCTCTGTGTTTCTGTCCCCGTGTCTCTGTGTCTCTGTCCCTGTGTCTGTGTGTCTATGTGTCTCCGTGTCCCTGTGTCTCTGTCCCCGTGTCCCTGTGTCCCCGTGTCTCTGTCTCTCTGTGTTTCTGTCCCCGTGTCTCTGTGTCTCTGTCCCTGTGTCTCCGTGTCCCTGTGTCTCCGTGTCCCTGTGTCTCTGTGTTTCTGTCCCCGTGTCTCTGTCCCTGTGTCTCCGTGTCCCTGTGTCTCCGTGTCCCTGTGTCTCTGTCCCGTGTCCCTGTGTCTCCGTGTCTCTGTGTCTCTGTCTCTCTGTGTATCTGACCACGCCGCCAAATCACAGCTTTCGCCTGAGCTAATCGATTCCGTCACCAGTTAGAGCTTCCGATTCCCGCCCTTCGATTCTCTCGCCGTCCGCGAAGCGGTACAAATCGGAATCGACTCCGTTTGTTGTTAATCGCTTAAAGCGATTCCGGGTGGCGCGTTTACTTACGCGGATGGGCGATTCCCATTAAAAGAATAAAGTCGATTCCATAATCGATTCCCTTTACATGATTTAACAGATTCGATTTAGATTCCAGCCTTTCTATTGTGTTTTAAGAACGGCTTATTGTTGGGCAAATACTAAAGACTGAGCTGATCATAAAAAAAAAAACTACGTACAGAAACAAAAGAAAACATTAACTGAAGGTTCCGAATATTTTGTGGTTGCTGAATGTGAATCAAATACTTTAGGATACTGACATTACGATATCACAATTTAAACTAAAAATATATTAAATAAAGTTAACGGACCAATGAATGATAGCAATTCAAATCTTTAAGGGCAAAAATACAACTTTTCACAATAACCAATTCGCACGAAAAATGATGTCTCCAACAGCAGTTTGCAGTACATACCTTTAATTAAATACAAAAAACGATTACGATTTAAATTCCATGATCAAGTTCATGTATTAGGTATAGCCCTGTGAGCCATTGGGCTCTTGAATCGGGTGCAAACGCAACAAACAAAAAACTAAAACATGAACAAAAAACATCTTAAAGTGAATATGTGACTAAGTGCAAACAGAAAATCCAAGAACAGACAGCAAAATATTGCAGAAAAATCACCGTACACAAAAATGTGCAAAAATCCCAGTGGGTTGCAAGTCAAACAACAACAACAACCACAAGACAACTTAGATTAAGGCCATCAGTCTAACTCTGTTACTACAACAAACAAACATGGCCAAACCAATAAACTTTTCGAAATCACCAAAATAAAGCCATGAAAGCAATGAAACAGCAGTGATCATAGGAACTGTTACGGAATTTTCACAATAAACGACATAAACAACATGTACCACCAAAAACCCTGCAGCCATAGCTGGCTGCATGAGTCACTCCACAACAGCACAGCAGGAGCATCAGTCTGAATATTATAATTTTTCAATGCACCTTTAAGATCAGCACACTAAATTAAAACACAGGTCACGGGCAACGGGGATGTATTTGAAATTCATCGTGTGCGAGATGTTAACCACCTCGCCAGGTATGCAGGAGGTTCACGGTTTCTATCTAACTCCTGCTGCTGTTACCCACCACGTTAAAAACGTGCACTGCTGATAGACACAGGCAAGCCCAGGTGCGAGTTTTATACTCGTAGGAACCTCCTGGTTACACCAGCCCACAGGGGATTATTGTGTCCGTCCGTCGTGCAGGGAGGGCTGGGTGGGGAGGGGAGGGGCTGGGTGGGGAGGGGAGGGGCTGGGTGGGGAGGGGAGGGGCTGGGTGGGGAGGGTGGGGAGGGGCTGGGTGGAGGGAGGGGGTGGGAGGGGAGGAGGGAGGGAGGGCTGGGTGGGGAGGGGATGGGTGGGGAGGGAGGGGCTGGGTGGGGAGGGTGGGGAGGGGAGGGTGGGGAGGGTGGGGAGGGAGGGGCTGGGTGGGGAGGGGAGGGTGGGGAGGGAGGGGCTGGGTGGGGAGGGGAGGGTGGGGAGCGGCTGGGTGGGGAGGTGGGGAGGGGAGGGTGGGGGAGGGTGGGGAGGGAGGGGCTGGGTGGGGAGGGTGGGGAGGGGCTGGGTGGGGAGGGGAGGGTGGGAGGGGAGGGGAGGGAGGGGCTGGGTGGGGAGGGAGGGGCTGGGTGGGGAGGGGAGGGTGGGAGGGGAGGGTGGGGAGGGGCTGGGTGGGGAGGGGAGGGTGGGGAGGGAGGGGCTGGGTGGGGAGGGGCTGGGTGGGAAGGGAGGGGCTGGGTGGGGAGGGTGGGGAGGGGCTAGGTGGGGAGGGAGGGGCTGGGTGGGGAAGGTGGGGAGGGGCTGGGTGGGGAGGGGCTGGGTGGGGAGGGGGAGTAAAAAAATATTTGAAACGGCTGTTACGCCGTGTGGACCTGAAAACTCAATTTGCATGTACAAGAATACGCGGTAAACCGTGTGGGTTGGCAGGTGTGCCTTTCTGAAGAACACGCAGAACCACCACAAAGTATTTCCCATAAAGATGCTAAATTCCTCTTGATATGCAAATTATTTTGTCAAGGCGCTCTTCTTCCCCCCCTCCAACCCAGCTTAAATATACGCTCCAAGCTTGGTGGTGTTTCATTCTTCACCTGAGGACGGCTGCTTGCATTGTAGCCGAAACGTCGTGAGAATTGTATTTTATTATGTGAAAAATGTATTAATTTATTATTTCCCTTCTACGTGACTCTAAAAATAATAAAATAATAAAACATAATAAAATAATTGCCTTTATTTATTTTATTATGTTTTATTTTCATTATTGTATTATTTCCCTTCTACGTGATGACTTTACCGAAAGAACCAAGAAGATGAATCCCTGCAGTCACGAAAGCTTTACATCGAAACTTTGAAATCAAGTTTTGCCGTTTCACAATCACCACACACTGCTACTCAGATGTTGTGGAGGACAAAACAAGTAGTTCTAAGGGGCCGTCCATAAATGACGTCACACACCTGGGGGGGGGGGGGGTCAGACATTTGTGACGATGTGTGACGAAGGGGGGGGGGGGTTCCGGTTCGGTGATTCTGCACTTGCTCTATTACTATAGTACTGTACCGCCTTCAATTTTATGAACGACTGGGTGTTTAAGGTTAGGGGCCGTCCATAAATGATGTCACGCACCTGGGGGGGGGGAGTCAGACATTTGTGACGATGTTTGACGAGGATTGGGGTTGTGACGTCACCTCAAAATGCGCAACTTTAAATAAATATAGACAACACGTTCTACTTAATTAAATAGACTTTTTAATAAATCTTTTCTCCTACAACATCAGAGTGCAGCGACACATTAAATACGCACTACAATGACAATAATTTAAAGCGATTTAAAGCATGTTATTTTTTTTTGGGGGGGGGGGGGCAGAGCTTTGTGACGTCATATTTGAGGTTGGGGGGGGTCTGACTTTTTGTGACGCCGTGTGACTAGGGGGGGGAGGGGGGTCAAACATCGTCCAAAATCGCGTGCGACGTCATTTATGGACGTCCCCTAAAGAAATCACGTGTGGTTAGTGCAAACTTGATGTCGTGCAAAAAAAAAGTGTCAACTTGGTGCCTGAACATCTAATTATTGACGGAATATTGTCTCCTCGTGGTGCGTGACGCGTGACGTCGTGGGACGCAGTCGCACGCAACTTCTTATCCGGTGACGAGGGTGGGCGGTGAAGCTTTTGTTGAATCCTTTGTCGCGCTGCTTTTCTCTTTGTCTTTCGCTCCGGGTTTTGTGTCGAGTGTAACGTCTCTAATGGCAACGCAACTTAGCGCGCGAACCTTGAATTCACTTTGCATCATAAAACACATGTGTAATCAAGGTCGTTGAGGCGACTTCTGGAATCCGGTCTTTTATTCAACTTGCATTACAGCTTTCCTTCACGCTGCTGACAGGCAGCGTGAGAGGGACAGATAGAGAGACGCACTGCCACGTGGCAACCCGGAGCCCCGCTCCCGCGTGGCCCCCTTCCTGCGTTCGTTCCGGTTCTGACCACGTGTCGTTCGTCTCCACCCCTATTTAATACCCGGGTCACATGGTACGTTTCCACCAATCCTGGTTAGCCTCTATGGAATATTCCAGGCTCCCTCGTAAGTTCCCGGAACCACGCCCCTGACTCGTCTCCCCATTGGCTGTGGCCAAAGCCAGCAGAACCAATCATCTACAAACAGCTGTCACCATGACGTCAGGACCACGCCCCTGACTCGTCTCCCCATTGGCTGTGGCCAAAGCCAGCAGAACCAATCATCTACAAACAGCTGTCACCATGACGTCAGGACCACGCCCCTGACTCGTCTCCCCATTGGCTGTGGCTAAAGCCAGCAGAACCAATCATCTACTTGCAGCTGTCACCTTTCCATTACGTCAGGGCCACGCCCCTAGGCTTCCCCCCATTGGCTATAGACCAGGACCGGCAGAGCCAATCATCATGACGAGTTGTGATATGTCAGTGAGCCGGATATATCCTCACATTACACATGCACAGGCGGACACAGCAATGCGTTCACGCTTTCAAACTCATTTTACAGGAAATCTAGTCTGTGTCTCATTGGGATGTCCTCCAGAGATGATATCCAAGACCGACCTTGGCACATATCTTTTGTTCAGTGCTAAATTACACTTTAGCGTGTATACGAGGCTGCATAAACATCTATTTTTTTAAATCTTCAAATGTGTAAAGACTTGACAAACTTCTCTTGAGATGGCTGTTTATTGAAGACGCGTTCACTTGACATCAGGCGGAGACCCCCACTGCAACAGCCCCAAGTCTCCCGCGCATCTCCCTTTTATATACCGACACGAGGCCACAACCCCCCTTCCCGAACCTTCTCACTGACTCTGGACGCTCGCTCCACCGGCAGACTCCACCGTCCTCTTCCGTCACCTGACCACGCTCCCTTATCGATCATTCCCGTAGCCACCAGTCCCTTCACACTCACCACTGATACCCCTGTCATCACCTCCCGTGGCCACCAGTCCCTTCACACTCACAGCTGATACCCCTGTCATTACCTCCCATGGCCACCAGTCCCTTCACACTCACAGCTGACTCCCCTGTCATTACCTCCCGTAGCCACCAGTCCCTTCACATTCACAACTGACTCCCCTGTCATTATCTCTCGTGGCCACCAGTCCCTTCGCACTCACAACTGACTCCCCTGTCATTACCTCCCGTAGCCACCAGTCCCTTCGCACTCACAACTGACTCCCCTGTCATTATCTCTCGTGGCCACCAGTCCCTTCGCACTCACAGCTGACTCCCCTGTCATTACCTCCTGTAGCCACCAGTCCCTTCGCTCTCAAAACTGACTCCCCTGTCATTACCTCCCGTAGCCACCAGTCCCTTCGCACTCACACCTGACTCCCCTGTCATTATCTCTCGTGGCCACCAGTCCCTTCGCACTCACAGCTGACTCCCCTGTCATTACCTCCTGTAGCCACCAGTCCCTTCGCTCTCAAAACTGACTCCCCTGTCATTACCTCCCGTAGCCACCAGTACCTTCTCACTCACAATTGATACCCCTCTCATTACTTCCCGTGGCCACCAGTCCCTTCGCACTAACAACTGACTCCCCTGTTATTACCTCCCGTGGCCACCAGTCCCTTCGCACTCACAACTGATACCCCTGTCATTACCTCCCGTGGCCACCAGTCCCTTCGCAGTCACAACTGGCTCCCCTCTCATTACCTCCCGTAGCCACTAGTCCCTTCGTTCTCACAACTGACTCCCCTGTCATTACCTCCCGTGGCCACCAGTCGCTTCACACTCACAGCTGACTCCCCTGTCATTACCTCCTGTGGCCACTAGTCCTTTCCCTCTCACAACTGACTCCCCTGTCATTACCACCCGTAGCCACCAGTCCCTTCGCACTCACAACTGATACCCCTGTCATTACCTCCCGTGGCCACCAGTCCCTTCGCACTCACGACTGACTCCCCTGTCATTACTTCCTGTGGCCACCAGTCCCTTCGTTCTCACAACTGACTCCCCTGTCATTACCTCCCGTGGCCACCAGTCCCTTCGCACTCACAACTGATACCCCTGCCATTACCTCCCGTAGCCACCAGTACCTTCTCACTCACAATTGATACCCCTCTCATTACTTCCCGTGGCCACCAGTCCCTTCGCACTAACAACTGACTCCCCTGTTATTACCTCCCGTGGCCACCAGTCCCTTCGCACTCACAACTGATACCCCTGTCATTACCTCCCGTGGCCACCAGTCCCTTCGCAGTCACAACTGGCTCCCCTCTCATTACCTCCCGTAGCCACCAGTCCCTTCGTTCTCACAACTGACTCCCCTGTCATTACCTCCCGTGGCCACCAGTCGCTTCACACTCACAGCTGACTCCCCTGTCATTACCTCCCGTGGCCACTAGTCCTTTCCCTCTCACAACTGACTCCCCTGTCATTACCACCCGTAGCCACCAGTCCCTTCGCACTCACAACTGATACCCCTGTCATTACCTCCCGTGGCCACCAGTCCCTTCGCACTCACGACTGACTCCCCTGTCATTACCTCCTGTGGCCACCAGTCCCTTCGTTCTCACAACTGACTCCCCTGTCATTACCTCCCGTGGCCACCAGTCCCTTCGCACTCACAACTGATACCCCTGTTATTACCTCCCGTAGCCACCAGTCCCTTCGCTCTCACAACTGACTCCCCTGTCATTACCTCCCGTGGCCACCAGTCCCTTCGCACTCACAACTGATACCCCTGTCATTACCTCCCGTGGCCACCAGTCCCTTCGCTCTCACAACTGACTCCCCTGTCATTACCACCCGTGGCCACTAGTCCACTCACACCGCGTGTAGACTCCACTGTCATTAGAAATGTAAGTTAAGAGTGCCATGCACTTCAACTATTAATGCGTCACTTAGTCACGGTTTCAACCCCAACTATTGTTGGGGTTGAAACCGTGACTAAGTGTTACAACACGTTGATTTAATAAATAGCAGAGGCAATCGATTTGGAATAACGTTTTTATTTCTGTAAGCAATCACCAAATCCCAAAATCAGTTGCGAACCCAATGTTAAACATTCTTATTATCACGGATTTATTTAACCAAATCTTCGTGGCATTTCTATAGGGTTGTCCATAAGCAACTTCCTGCTTTGAAAAAGCGGTATTTTGTGTTAAACTATTTTTTTTTGCAGAAATAAAGTAGAAGCCTGGGAGTTTATGAGGCATCGGTTATACACCTCAGCAGCGTGCAATAACAGTTGAAATTTATTTTCAGATTCTTTTTCTTCAATTATTTCAACACGGAGAGACTATCATAGATATTCGAAGAGCGGAACGGCTCCCAACTCCGCACCGTTTTCAGGCGTTGATGTCCCGATTTTGGGAATCAGAAACAACGGCGGACACAAAGCGTTGTTGGCAGACCTCGAACCGGGTCGATCTCCGACTTCGCCACAAGTTTTGAGGAGAGTGACGGAAAATGCTGGTGAAAGAGCACGGATTTGGCAACGCAATGCAGGCGGTCGTTTAGAAGATATTATTTTTCACGTGTAATCATATCAAATCTATATATTTTAAATAATTTTTCATAATTCGGATCTGTCCCGTAAACAAGACCAAATTAGTTACTACTTCAGCCGACCCGTACGTTGGAGAGTAAATCCACTCGCCAACATACTCCCTCGCCTGGTATACAGGAGATCGTATATTTGGAAGTTGACATGTGTAGTGGCATAGAATAAGTATTGTAACAGCATAGCGCTGGCTGCTGGCGGGGAAGGGGATCTGCGGCTTACAGCAGCCCTGACGTCAGCAGGCCACGTGACACACCAGAGGGGATATTTGGGGTAAATATTACAGAAGGGGCACGTGGGGGAAGCCAATGAACCTGTTAGTAGGTTCTAGAGAGGGGACGTGGCCGGGGCGGAGCGAGGCCATGCCGGGAGCATAAAAGGGGGCCCTTAGCGAGAGCTCGGGGCTGTCGTTTGTAGTGGGAGCCCCGTTGTGTTGTTGAAGATCGTCGCAACCCACGTACAGTTGTGTATAAGCGAGCGACAGAAGAGTGTCTACCAGCGTAGGCTGTGTATTGTGCCGAGGGTGCTTGGTTAAATAAAAGAAGGGCCTCCAACTCTTAGCGTCTCCGAGTTAAGTCACCACTACACATGTTCTCCCTGTGGTCGCGTGGTTTTTAGAATCAACATACGTTTAGAGTATTTGGCTGCTATAAATTTGCACATGATGAACCACGTCGTTGAGTTATCATTTGTGGCCAGGCCACTTATGAAAAAGAACTACATTGATCAGTGGGCCTTGGTTTAGCTACACAAATGGATGAATGTTCTTTGAGTATGGCAGGCAGAGAGTGTTTAATGATGACGAGTCTCCCCTTGGCCTGATTGAGGGTGGTTTCATTAATAAATTTCGGGTCAAAGAGATTGAAAACACCCTCACTCTTCATGCTCCGCGCACCCACCTTCTTTGCCAGGCTCGATTTATTTCCCAGGAAGAAGTGGTTGAGCTCCCCTTTCCCCATGCTCTGAATCAGGAGATCCATGAGCTCGTCAAGGCGGGCATTCAGGTTCGTTGCGGTGTCTTCCCACTGGGTTGGGTTCGTGTGCGTGAGCAGGTGGAGGAAGGCCGTCTTCAGGTGGTACGAGCAGATTCCACTCGCGAACTGCGACGTCTCCTCCAGCCGAGTGTCGTGCTCCCGCAGGTACTTGAGGATCTTCAGGGTCTTCAGGTGGCAGGAAGAGCTCGGAAGCTGATTCAGGATGTCTTTCTCGAAGACCGAGAACGACAGCCTCCAGAGAAGCTGTTCTGGGACAATCTTCAAAGGCTTGGCCACCACGTAGAGACCATCCCCAATGTAGACCGCAAGAACCAGGTCCACGCAGATTTCATTGCCAGGGCTGAGAGTTATGACGAGCGTACGGGCTGGTTGGTAGCCTGTAAACTTCACATCAAATCTAACCAGATCTCGTATGTTGTTCATTGCTTGGTCTACTAATGACTGAAACCAATGATATACCTTTGATGGGATCAGGTATCCGCCTTCGGTGAATTTATTTTCAAATTGACTTGGTGGTGTTGATACTTTCTCGGGCCTTTGCAATTGTTTGTGTCGCTCGACTTTTAATTGGCGATAGCCACCTGGTACACTGGCATGTGAGATCGGGACAAAGTTGAATTCAGGGTGAAAGAGAGGAATCATAAAATCCAGCTCCATATCTCCCCGAACTTTGAGTCCTTCGTAAGAGCTGCCGGTGGGAATGAATTCATCTGCAATGACGGGTTCCAAGCCTGGCTGTTGAAGTTTTCTCATCTCTTGCAGGAGTTTCCTCACCTCTCGATTAGCAGTGTTGATGTGGCCTTCGAGCTGTTTAGGTGGGAATTCAACTTTCTTTTTGTAGAATCTATTAAGTTCGTCCAGATGATCGGTGCCAGACGCCATTGTCGGAGTAGTTCACTGCAACACAATTTTTTTTGTTAATTACTGTTAACCGTTAAAAGTTGACCTCAAATGTATTGACTTGTGTGATTCCTATCAAGCATTATTATTTTGATTTAAAGCTTTCGTGACTGCAGGGATTCATATTTTTTATTGTTTTATATTTATATTATTTTATTATTTCCCTTCTACGTGACTATACCGAAAGAACCAAGAATAAGTATTATTATATATAGTATATAATGACATAATGTTGAGCATTACACACCACCGTCGCATTTTCGTTTTTTTAGATTGCATTTGTTGTTGGAAAGACAAAAGTGGTTGTTATATTTAATTAAGGACGGGGCAGACCCCATGACAGATGTGACAGAGCCTTGCAACGTTCTGACCTGCCTCTACTGGAAATCTGTGAAAAGAGCTTAATAGCTCATCGGATTCCTCCAGGACAAATACATATTCTGATTCTGTACTGCTGAACATGCAAAATCTGCCTCTGATCAATAATGGAATGTATCCTTAATACTTCACAGGCAAAAAAATCCTCATCATTTTTGCAATGCCATCTGCACCTTAACTGCAGGCCAAATTCAACATTGCTCTGGTCGCCAGGGGGTGCCCCAAGGTCAGAGTGCAATGCAAAGACCCTCAATTCCGTGATATACATTATTTTGTGATGGTGTGTTGGCAGTGGCGCACCAGCATAATTAGCAGAAAAACAACAATAACACTGCCTTAACATGTTTTTCATATTCTAGATTTGAAGTTTTCGTGGCTGCAAGGATCCATACGTTTTGGTTTTTTTGGTAAAGTCACGTAGGTGAAAAAATAAAAAAGATTAAAAAAAATATTTTTTTTAATAAGAACTAAATTAAATAACGACGTTTCGGAAGCAACACAAGCTTCCGTCATCAGGTGGGACAACCACAGCAAGAAACAAAATTACTCTAAAATTAATGTATTTAATAAGCCACATTTTGGGCAATTGCCATTCAAAGAAGGGCCATTTCTTGAAACATTACCTAATAAATATTTATGACACTGCTATTGATGAATGCGAGTTTTTTTTTTTACGTGTGCTTACAAGTGGGCTTCTTAAGTGTTGTGAAGTGATGATCTGGGCCCAGTCACCAATCACTATGCAAAATGCTCATCACATTACATTTGGCTCTGCACTTGATTGAAATGAAATCACTAGCTCGGACCTAAATGCCAATGTCGATGACATCAGCATTAGGCCTGCTGGCCGCATTTACAACATTACATTTTGCTGTTGCTGCCCGCTGCAATAATTTGATCGCTTCAAATTTCGATTTAAAGCTTTCGTGACTGCAGGGATTCGTGTTCTTGGTTCTTTCGGTAAAGTCACGTAGAAGGAAAATAATAAAATAATACAAATTTAACATAATAAAATAATTCTCACGACGTTTCGGCCAGAACGCAAGCAGCACCTGAGGACGGCTGCCTGCGTTGTGGCCAAAACGTCGTGAGAATTGTATTTTATTATGTTTTATTTTTATTATTTTGTTATTTCCCTTCTACGTGACTTTACCGAAAGAACCAAGAACATGAATTTTTATCGCTGTTTTCTTTCGTTTCTAGAAAACAGAAAGGGTTCGTGGTCGAAGCGCTCCTCCCGTATACTGGAGTTTTACCTTTCCCTCTGGCCACGTGGCTTGTGTTTTACAACGAGACTTGGCAACTCTGGGCTCAAAAGCTAAAACGTTTATTTGTGTGAGACAGTGCTAGTGGGGGGAGGGGGGGTAATGCTTGGGGTTTGTGTAAGGTTCGTGGTGGGTGGAGACAGTGTCATAATATTTATTTTCCTGGAGCAATCAGATGAGATATAAAGCTTTTTTTTCTCACAGATGTCCAGTCGGGGGCGGATAAGGACGTTACCGCAACAAACAGTACAAAAACACGATAGCAGTGCAAAGTGCAACAAAGGTAAACACATGTGTGATGTGAGCGCCGTCTCCTGTAATATTGCGGGGCGCACATGGGTTATACAGCTACGGCTTATCTCGAGTAGAGATTAAACTGGTAGGAACCTCCTGGTTACACCAGCCCACAGGGGATTTTTGTGTCCGTCCTCAGGTAGGAACGTTGGGTTGCTCGGTCCTCAGGTGAGGGCGGCTGCTTGCGTTGTGGCCGAAACTTCGTGAGAATTGTATTTTATTATATTTTATTTTTATTATTTTGTTACTTCCCTTCTACGTGACTTTACCGAAAGAACCAAGAAGACTTTAGCCAGGAATTTAATAAACAACTTGAATTTCTACCGTGTCGGAGCCACTCATTTCACATGTGCAGATGCCGAGCACCTTTGCTCACCACGTGTGCATGTTTCTATTCTTGAATCTGACCCTTTACTTAAGGTGTTCTTTAACGTATTTGTCCCGAGACTGCATTGGAAAGTTGCCAGGCACAGGGAGAAATCCACCACTGTCACTGGGCAAAGTGTCGAGGCAGTCATCAAATTCACCGTCTTATTTTATGTTTTTGGTGGTAACTACCTCGCCTGGTATGCAGTAGGTCGTGGGTTCGATCTCGTCCCTGAAGTCCGCTGTGTGTTTGGAGTTTGCGATGTCTTTCTCTCCGTGGTCGCGTGGATTTTTTTTCAGGTACGAACGCTACAACAACAGACGATACAAAAAAATGATAGTAGGCGAGGGTTAGATAAGGTCATCGTCACATGGTGAGTCTGTTTCCTCATTCGCCACCTTACTAGTTGTAAGACGTGGCAACAATAAAATGAGTTTATAATCGTGACGGAGAGAAAACGGCGAAGCGCCACTCACAACCATTCGCATCGCCCCTCGCTATCCTAAAACGGTGGGAAGAAAACAAATGGCTCTGCCCCTTTGTACCACGATGGGCAAATTGTAAGCTTTGATTTAAAGCTTTCGTGATTGCAGGGATTCATATTCTTGTTTTTTTCGGTAAAGTCACGTAGAAGGGAAATAATGAAATAATAAAAATGTAAAACAAAAAAATGTCTCACGACGTTTCGACTGCAACAAAAGCAATCATCATCAGGTGTGAAATCCACAGCAAGATTTCACACCTTATGATGATTGTCGTGAGAATTTGTATTTTTTTATATTTTTATTATTTTATTAATTTGAAAAATTTCTTGCTGTGGATTTCACACCTGATGATGATTGCTTTTGTTGCAATCAAGACGTCGTGAGAATTTGTATTGTTTTATATTGGTATTATTTTATTATTTCCCTTCTACGTGACATTACCAAAAGAACCAAGAAGATTACCGATTGCCTTTGTCGGTTGGAGGTGGGTTTAGATTTACGCAATCTAACCCCACAAAAATACTTGATTATGAACGACAGTTTCTTTTTTAAAACATTTTTAACTGAGAAACGAAGGGAGCTGCCAAAAGCGGTGTTCACGGTTACCACACCGATCCGATTCCATCTCCCGGTGCGGCAATTGAAACCAAATTGCACGCAGTTGCCCACCTCGTAGTATGAGTACAGCACATCATGTGGTGGGCTAAAATGTGGGTACACCCAGGGGCGGTTTCTTCATTAGGGCGATTGGGCGACGCACCACCAATGTCATTAAACCACAGAGTCACGCTAGCCGTCACTGTCAGCCTCTGGATATAGTCCAATCAGCGTCATGCTACGTTCTGTGGAGTACCGCCTCTTTTTGGGCGATTTCACTCCGGCTGAGAATCGCCCAGAGTCTTCCCATAGACTTACATTCAAAGTTTTTTTTTTTCGAACGGGGGCGCTGCAATGCATTCTCTATGGCTTCCGGGAGGGCTCGCCCTAACGTGCTTACGTCATCATACGTGCTTACGTCATCATACGTAAGCACGTTTCATCCAACAATATAATTTGTCGCCACCTAGTGGAATCTTTAATAAAAGAAACTTGAGTGGTTTGTTTTAATAGTGAGTATAGAAACAAACAAGGAGATGTATTGCAAGAGTCACTTTATTTTTCATTAATATTAAAGAAGTGAAGTTGCCTTTACATGCTTACGCTGTTAATTTATCCATTGCATGGGTGGACCTTATCCTTATCAATCATCCAGACATTTGCCCCCCCCTGAGAGATTTTGCAGGAGCCGCCACTGCCCAGCAGGTGCCACGGGTCGACTTACCCTCTCGAGCAGTGGTTCTCACCCTCGTTTGACTCCTGGTGCCCCTTGTTGATTTGTGTGTCAACCGAGTGCAAAATGTTTCCCAGTTTACCCAAAACCTCAGCCGAGATCTGCCCTTGGGGTTTGGTGGTGGCGGCGCCGATTGAACGGTTCGCAAAGTGGTCCCCAAAGTTGCTCGCAGTAGAGAGTCTCGAAACGCCGCCCCTGTTGACATTCCACCGAGATGGATTACCGGCTCCTGGACCTTTGATCGACGGGTCAATGTTCATCAAACCCGGACGTTTACTCGCTGGCTGCTACTGCTGCGTCCATGAATAGAAATACTGTACGGTACAAACGACGAGCCATCTGCAATGTTGGCAGCAAAGATGATTTTGCAACGTTCCCTAAGATGCTTTTTATTTCGCAATACAGGAAGCACACACACACACACAAATTGAGATGTGATAATTGTTTTTTTACCATTTTATCTGGCAACAAAATTGACACCTTTTTTTTACAAGGAGTCATGTTTGCATTAACCACAATACCTGCAGTCAGAATGCAAACAAAAAACACAACTCTGATAATGTATGCACTGTCCTTGAAATTGATTGGTCCACACCCGAGACAGCTTTCTTTAGAGCCTAGTCTCACCAGATGACGCCAAAACGCGCACAACTCAAGGACAATGCACTATCAGAGTATGAGAGCTCGGGGTAAGCATTCTGACTGCAGGTATTGTGGTTAATGCAAACATAACTCCTTGTAAAAAAAGGTGTCAGTTTTGTTGCCAGATAAAATGGCAAAAAAACAATTATTATATTTTGCAACTGGCAAATGAGGTTCCAATGGTGTAAATTGAGATGTGTGAGAAGTCGTATAACATACCGGTGGCGTGTATCCACACACAGGAACTTGGAATAAATATCTTCCTGTTATCTGCAATATCACATATCGGGGAAGGGGGTGGGCGGCAATGTATATTTAAATCACCAATCTGCATACTCTTCCCTGTAAAATGAGGGTTAGGTGTTTACTTACATTCCACACAACGACGCGCACAATCACTGTGAATCGTTAGTGACCAAAACGTCTTTGAGCTCACTTCCTCTTTCTTTTTCTTCTTCAGGAACTGCCACCAGCCACCATCGCGACATCGGATGGGTTATACGTGGCACGCCGTGGAGACGAGAACGACACGTAGGCCTTAGCGACCAATATCTACAATAGTAGAGGTTTATGGGTTATATTGCGTATTACGACGTTTCGATTGCAACACAAGCAATCATCATCAGGCATGAAAGAAATAGCAACAAAAATCTAACTAGAAAACTATAGACAGACATACAAGCAGACAGACACATATCGGCACAAAGAGAGAGGTCGTTTGTAGAAACGGCCTCTCTCTTTGTGCTGATATGTGTCCTCTCTCTGTGTGTCCTTGTGATGTCTGTCTGCTTGTGTGTCAGTCTATAGTTTTCTAGTTAGATTTTTGTTGCTATTTCTTTCATGCCTGATGATGATTGCTTGTGTTGCAATCGAAACGTCGTAATATGCTATTATTCAATTTATTATTTTATCTTTAGACGTGACTTAACCGAAAGAACCAAAGAATAAATCCTGCAGTCACGAAAGCTCCAAAATTAAGATAGATTGCGTATATATATAAACGCGTCGTGAAACCCACTACAGCCAATTAGTAAGGGCTGTCACGTGAACAGAAAATGGGAATTTGTTACCAATCTGTAACCCAGTCTTGGAGCGTGACAAAAAACAAAGTCGCTCCGCTTGATTCCAGTGTCCAATATTACATACACGACGTTAAGCACCACGTACATACAACTTAATCAAAATCACTGCACGGAAATACATCACCCCCAAGTCTGCGAGATTGAAGCGGGGTGCAGTGAATGCGGTAACTTTTAAAAAAACAGGATGCTTATATTTGTCTTATTTGTATGCGTATTTATGCCAAATATTATTTCCAACAACAACCACAAGACAACTTAGATTATGGCCATCAGTCTAACTCTGTACTACATGGCCAAACCGAAAAACTTTTAAAAAATCACCAAAATGAAGCCATAAAAGCAATGAAACAGTGATCATAGGAACTGTGACGGAATTTTCACAATAAACGACATAAACAACATGTACTACAAAAACCCTGCAGCCATAGCTGGCTGCATGAGTCACTCCACAACAGCAGCAGGAGCATCAGTCGGATTATCAACATTTTTCAATGCACCTTTAAGATCAGCACACTAAATCAAAACACAGATCATACTTTGCAGCGATTATCCGGAGCGAAACATTGTATTTTAGGCCACTAAATTGCACTGGCAGCTAGGGGTGTACAACAACTCCTCTAGAGCAGTTTTGAGTGAAGATCTCATAGGTAGTGATTCAAGTTGCAGTTTATTGGCAGTGGTTGTGATAGAAACCGCGAACCGCCTGCGTACCTGCGCAAGGTGGTTAACATCTCGCACACGATGGATTCCAAATGCATCGTGGATCACTCACCAGCATCAACGATGCCCTCTGGTTCAGCTGGGCGAGGCTGAACGCGGAGCAGCGCTGTTACCGGCTTTATTTATATTCGCGTCACCCGAAGGGGGGCAACGTAGTTTCTCGGAAAGGCGGTCAGAGAGAGGCAGTCAGCCGTGTCACGAAACGTGACGTGGCCGTGGGCGCAAAGCGACGCTCCCAAATTGCAAAGAGCGATCCGACAAGCGATTCGTCGCTACCATTCTCCCCCCCCCCACCTCACCCCCCTTGTGTCGTATTTCCACGTTGCCCTCTGTGTGTGTTCAGGTTGTACATGAAGCAGTGGCGTAGTAGCAAAAGTAGCTACATGTGTCTGCTTGGTTCTTTCGGTAAAGTCACGTGGAAGGGAAATAATACAATAATACAAATAAAACATGATAAAATAATTGTGATAATTATTTTATGAAGTTTATTTTTATTATTTTATTATTTTTAAAGCTTTCGTTACTGCAGGGATTCATCTTGTTGGTTCTTTCGGTAAAGTCACGTAAAATAATTGTGAGAATTATTTTATAATGTTTATTACTATTATTTTATTATTTGCCTTCTACGTGACTTTACCGAAAGAACCAAGAAGATGAATCCCTGCAGTCACGAAAGCTTTAAATCGAAATTTAGCTACATATGCTACTGGCCCCGCACTTTCCAGGGTGCCCGCGCTAAATACTTTCAAGCTATCAATTCCGGTTGGGTGATTCTGCACTTGCTCTATTACTATAGTACTGTACCGCCTTCAACTTTTATTAAGGTTAGGGGCCGTCCATAAATGACGTCACGCACCTGGGGGGGGGGGGGTCAGGCGTGGATGGAGGAAAATCAAATTTATTTAATTAATTATAAATTTTTATCTCGATTGACGGTTAATGCTGCATAGTATTGCATTGCAGTACAGTGAGGGAAAAAATATTTGATCTGCTAATTTTGTACGTTTGCCCACTGACAAAAAAAGGATCAGTCTATAATTGTAATGGTAGGTTTATTTGAACAGTGAGAGACAGAATAACAACAACAAAATCCAGAAAACGCATGTCAAAAATGTTATAAATTTATTTGCATTTTAATGAGGGAAATAAGTATTTGACCCCTCTGCAAAACATGACTTAGTACTTGGTGGCAAACCCCTTGTTGGCAATCACAGAGGTCAGACGTTTCTTGTAGTTTGCCACCAGGTTTGCACACATCTTAGGAGGGATTTTGTCCCACTCCTCTTTGCAGATCTTCTCCAAGTCATTAAGCTTTCGAGGCTGACGTTTGGCAACTCGAACCTTCAGCTCCCTCCACATATGTTCTATGGGATTAAGGTCTGGAGACTGGCTAGGCCACTCCAGGACCTTAATGTGCTTCTTCTTGAGCCACTCCTTTGTTGCCTTGGCCGTGTGTTTAGGGTCATTGTCATGCTGGAATACCCATCCACGACCCATTTTCAATGCCCTGGCTGAGAGAAGGAGGTTCCCACTCAATATTTGATGGTACATGGCCCCGTCCATCGTCCCTTTGATGCGGTGAAGTTGTCCGTCCCCTTAGCAGAAAAACACCCCCAAAGCATAATGTTTCCACCTCCATGTTTGACGGTGGGGATGGTGTTCTTGGGGTCATAGGCAGCATTCCTCCTCCTCCAAACACGGCGAGTTGAGTTTATGCCAAAGAGCTCCATTTTGGTCTCATCTGACCACAACACTTTCACCCAGTTGTCCTCTGAATCATTCAGATGTTCATTGGCAAACTTCAGACGGGCATGTATATGTGCTTTCTTGAGCAGGGGGGCCTTGTGGGCCCTGCAGGATTTCAGTCCTTCACAGCGTAGTGTGTTACCAACTGTTTTCTTGATGACTATGGTCCCAGCTGCCTTGAGATCATTGACAATATCCTCCCGTGTAGTTCTGGGCTGATTCCTCACCGTTCTCATGATCATTGCAACTCCACGAGGTGAGATCTTGCATTGAGCCCCAGGCCGAGGGAGATTGACAGTTCTTTGTGTTTCTTCCATTTGCGAATAATCGCACCAACTGTTGTCACCTTCTCACCAAGCTGCTTGGCGATGGTCTTGTAGACCATTCCAGCCTTGTGTAGGTCTACAATCTTGTCCCTGACATCCTTGGAGAGCTCTTTGGTCTTGGTCATGGTGGAGAGTTTGGAATCTGATTGATTGATTGCTTCTGTGAACAGGTGTCTTTTATACAGGTAACAATCTGAGATTAGGAGCACTCCCTTTAAGAGTGTGTTCCTAATCTCAGCCCGTTACCTGTATAAAAGACACCTGGGAAACAGAAATCTTTCTGATTGAGAGGGGGTCAAATACTTAATTCCCTCATTAAAATGCAAATCAATTTATAACATTTTTGACATGCGTTTTTCTGGATTTTGTTGTTGCTATTCTGTCTCTCACTGTTCAAATTAACCTACCATTAAAATGATAGACTGATCCTTTCTTTGTCAGTGGGCAAACGTACAGAATCATCAGGGGTTCAAATACGTTTTTACCTCACTGTAGAAGAAAAAAAAAACCGGTTTGAAGTTGAGTCCAGCATATGTTTAAAAATAGAAAATTGCCTGCAACATGGGTGAGGCATCAGCAGTTATTGTGGCAAGCATTTCAAAATCACATGGCAAACTGGTATATGCAAACGCAATTGCGGCTGCACCCAAAACAAGAATGTGCAGCTCATAAGAGTACCCTAGTCACGTGTAAGAAAGACAGGAGTTTCTCAAACTGTGTCGTTTTATTTTATATTATGTCTAAGAAGAAGATGATTGTACCGTGGCCGCAAATCCCAGGGGAGGCTTGGGGCTCATTAATAAATCTGCGCGGTTCCTGCCCGCCACTCGTGGGGTTCCCATGATCTGATTCTCTGCACGATTCGATTGCGATTAAATAACCGATTCGTTGTTGTTGTTGTTGTTGTCTCGGTTACATTGTTTCCCATTGCGTCTCGTGTTTGCAGCCACCGTTATCCAGTGTGAGCGAATCGCGAATCCATGAGCAGGGCCACCGAATTGTGGCTCGGCGAATCCGAGGGATGTACTGGCAATTGGCACGAGGTGGCGACATTGTATGAATAATGATGATGATGATACTGGTAGGAACCTCCTGGTTACACCAGCCCACGGGGGATTATTGTGTCCGTCGTGCAGGGAGGGGCTGGGTGGGGAGGGAGGGGGTTAGAGGGGTGGGGCTGGGTGGGGAGGGGCTGGGTGGGGGGGTGAGAGGGGTGGGGCTGGGTGGGGAGGGGCTGGTCACCCCGTGGTGCCCTTATAAAACTCAACGTTTAACCTACTCACGCCGGCTTGTGCCCGCCTTCACAGCCGGCCATATTTGCGGAATACACCACGCCGCCGTTGACCCTGGCCATTGACCAAGCAACCCAATGTTCCTACCAGCTCCCTCCGCAGGAATGTGTTTGAACTGCAGTAGAACTGGTTCCACTGCAAGGAGACGGCGCTGTTGAGGCGAGCATTAGCGCGGGTCACGCACATTTGTGAAACTCCTAAACCCGGCCTCGCTGTGATGTGGCGAGGAAATGGAAAGGCAGCAGTGGAGACGACTCCACATTTGCGTGCATCTCCGAGTGCTTTCATCCTGCAACGCACAGCGGGGTTTGTTAAATTTGAATCAAAGTTCCTACGATTACTATTGTTAAATCCTTTATATTAAGTTCGCTTGCTTGCTTGCGTGCGTGCTTGCTTGCTTGCTTAGGACCGTGCAAATCTTTCGGTCGTTTTTTAACCCACTTCCCGTGATCCAATCGAGCTGATATTTTGCACACAGACTCGTTGTGCGTGACAATTAATGTTCGTGAAAGTTTGTTTTCAAAATGTTACACTTTTTAGGAAAAAATATTATATTTAATTACCAATTGCTTAATGGTGCAATGCAATCATCTGACCCATAGGTGGCAGCCATCTCAAGCCAGAGGACGAGAGGACTCTAGCCGCCACGCATATAAAGGATTTATAGTGAAAAACTTTGTTTTTACGGGTTATACTTGTTTCATCATCTTGATACCGGCAAAAAAAAAAAGTTCCCCAAAGCAAACAACGCGATGACTCTTGTTACAAAAAAACTGGCACAGACTCAATGACTGCTGCCTGCCGGTCAACGGGTAAATCCGGATCGTCCGGTCGGAAGACGCCGGGTGAGATACTGCGGCGGTCGTGTCGCTGAACAGGAGTAGCAGCAGCAGCTGTATGATCTGCAGCAGCAGCTGTAGCATCAGCAGCAGTAGGAGCTGTAGCAGCAGCTGTAGCATCAGCAGCAGTAGGAGCTGTAGCAGCAGCTGTAGCAGCAGCAGCTGTAGGAGCTGTAGCAGCAGCTGTAGCATCAGCAGCAGTAGGAGCTGTAGCAGCAGCTGTAGCAGCAGCAGCTGTAGGAGCTGTAGCAGCAGCTGTAGCAGCAGCAGCTGTAGGAGCTGTAGCAGCAGCTGTAGCAGCAGCAGCTGTAGGAGCTGTAGCAGCAGCTGTAGCAGCAGCAGCTGTAGGATCTGTAGCAGCAGCTGTAGCAGCAGCAGCTGTGGTTGCTGTAGCTGTAGCAGCAGCTGTAGGAGCTGTAGCAGCAGCTGTAGCAGCAGTAGCTGTGGTTGCTGTAGGAGCTGTAGCAGCAGCTGTAGCAGCAGCAGCTGTATGATCTGTAGCAGCAGCTGTAGCAGCAGTAGCTGTGGTTGCTGTAGCTGTAGCAGCAGCTGTAGCAGCAGCAGCTGTATGATCTGTAGCAGCAGCTGTAGCAGCAGTAGCTGTGGTTGCTGTAGCTGTAGCAGCAGCTGTAGCATCAGCAGCTGTAGGAGCTGTAGCAGCAGCTGTAGCAGCAGCAGCTGTATGATCTGTAGCAGCAGCTGTAGCAGCAGCAGCTGTATGATCTGTAGCAGCAGCTGTAGCAGCAGTAGCTGTGGTTGCTGTAGCTGTAGCAGCAGCTGTAGCAGCAGCAGCTGTAGGAGCTGTAGCAGCAGCTGTAGTAGCAGTAGCTGTGGTTGCTGTAGCTGTAGCAGCAGCTGTAGCATCAGCAGCAGTAGGAGCTGTAGCAGCAGCTGTAGCAGCAGCAGCTGTAGGAGCTGTAGCAGCAGCTGTAGCATCAGCAGCTGTAGGAGCTGTAGCAGCAGCTGTAGCATC